TATTTCAAACACTGCATATATTTAGGATGAAGAAAAATAAACATTGATAGTGGCGTTCTTTCACATAATACTCAAAATCAAGGGTTAATGGCGTGAGTTAACAAAAATAATTATATTTTTTAATGGCATGGGCTTCACTGTTCAAAATGTTTCACTTAACTATTTCATGTTTGGCATTTACATTAGCTTTCTGCATTTATAAATTTGTAAGAGCATGCAGTTTCGAAAATATAAGATGCCAAATATTCAAATTTTACAATCCCAATTTTTGGAAAATTTCAAAAATGCTAAAAATGAAATATCAGTTTTCTATCTTCAAGGGGGAAGTTTTGTAAACGGGTCCAGGTAGACTGAAACTAATAAGCAGTTTTTTTTTGGAAAAGTACTTACAATGTACATTTTTTAAGTTTCCATATTTGTTTTTTGAAATTTACTTAATAATTGATATCAAATACAAAACTCGTCTAATTATGGAATTATCAAAATATATAAGTACTTTAAAAATTTTTTTTAAAACCGAAAGGTTTTTTCTGTCTGTTCCATTCTGACTAGCGACAAGAATGAAAAGTTCGAATTTCATGCGGACCATTAATTAAAAGGTGGTCTCAATAAATTCTGCGAATAATGGAAATTCTTTTTCTTCTGGAAATAATAAAAAAAAATTGTTAGAACATAAGTACTTGAATTTCGTAATTCACCATTTACGACATATGTATTTTATGTGGTTTACGTGTATGTATGGATTCTTTTTGTGTATAATACTAATACATAATTAAACTTTTAGCATGGCAATTCAATCTAAATCATTTTTAATTACGAAAGTTTTTTTCTCATTCCTTTCTTTTTGATTTTGTTTTTATTTTTTTTTTGACATTTGCAAAAATTAATATAATTCTTTTTTTTCGTAATTTTAAAAACACCGATCGATAAACCAACCCAAAAATCCATAAAAAAATATTTTATACATTTCAATATACACACATACATAACATTTTTTTTCATAATATTTATATTAATTTTCTATTTTAATATATGAATCTTTATACGTGTACATACATATATAATACAAAATAATTTTTTTTTATATTTTATTTTTCTCCACAGAATTTATAAGGAAGAGAAATTTATAATAATAATATATAAATCTAATCAAATATGATCATAACACACCCAAGCTCATTATTCAAACCTTTTGCACCCTCACAATCCACAATGAAAAGCACCAAAAATATGTTAATATGTATACACGATTATGTGTGCAAATATATAATAAATATATAGCCATATAGATATGCATTACATATCAATATACGTATTTCCGTACACTCATAGAATAGCCATATCTATATAAAACGGGAGCAAAATATAGTATATGAAAATGAGAAATTTATGCCAAAAGCCAACAAATAAATGATTGTGTTGTGCCAAACCCTTCTTCGTCCTACAAATACATCGATAGCAATTATAATATAAAAAATTATAATAAAGTAAAAAAATATAATAATATAATAACACCAACAAAATATTTGAAATAATATATTACAAAAAAAAAAATTAAAAACTTTTAGAAAGCTACATATCCGTTGAATATACACAATCATACTTATAAAATTTCAATAGAAAAAAATCTGTGCAAGAATTAAGATTGCCACCCTTAGATTGCTAGAAATCATAAAATTAATTTCTGTTAAACCAATCAAATGATTCTGCAAAATTTTAAATTAGGAAATTTGGAACAGTGTTGTTTACAAAAAGTTTGTGGAGGATGCTCATTTTCAAACTACAGCCTGTTGAAAAAAATACCTGATTTTTCCTGCATACGAGTATAAATAAATTCTTATAACTTCAGAATCATGCAACATAAAGTAACGATCGGGGGCTTGTTTCGCAGGCGATTGATTGCTCTTTATTTTTTGTCTTACAATCAATTTGATTTGAACTATAGCTTTCGAAATTAAGCTCGTCAAAGTAAGAATTTTTGTTTTTTTTTTTTAAATTTTTTTTTAAAAACTCGAAATTTTTCAAAAATTTGGTTATTTTTTTACTTTTTCGAAACGCTACTATGAGATCTGAAAGGTATTAAATGTGCTTAAAAACCACGCGAAAAATGCAAAGTTCGTACATTTTGTAACAGGCTGTAACTCGAAAACGAGTATATTTATACTCGTCGCCCTTCCACCCCCAACCATACAATTTTTTACTGGAAATTGATCAAGGAAAATTATTGCCATTTTATGCGACACATTAGTAAAATGAGTTGTTTTTTAATTTTATGAAATAAATTTTTTTTGGAACATTTCAAAAGTTATCGACAAATATGGTGCAATTAAACCGTTAATTAGGGATATTTTTTGGGAAAGGCAAATATTTGGGTAAAACTTCAAAATATCAAAAGTTCTATACATAAATCTTTGAAAGAAATTTTTCTAATTTTTAAGTGAAAGAAATTTTTTCTGTTTTTAAGTATTAAAAATCGCATCTCGAAACTTAGCCGCCTTTTTCCCAAACATTTCATTTGCAAATCAGCAAAAACGGATTTGTAAAAGTTTGCTCATTTCACCTTTTTAAAAGTGTGCTCATTTCACCTCCTCTATAACTTTCTTTTAAAAATAAAAATAATTTAATAAACACACGATGGCAACTCTTAAAAATTAACAAATATATTTGCATGTAGGTATACGGAATCAAAATTTCACAATGAATTGGTAAATTTTCATTTTTTTATTCAAAAATAAATAAATAAAAACATAAAAAAAGCTGAATTAGTTCTTCGCCTTTTTTTTTACTCCAAGCTTTATAAGAAAATTGTCTCCAAAATAAAAAATAATAAAATTCCAAAAAAGAAAAGGGTTTACATATCAAAAATTTTATTTTTTAAGGGTTCTTTTCTTTCTCATTTTTTTATTGTTTTTTGATGCATATTTATTTTTATATTTATTGTTTTTTATTTTTTTTTTTGCGAAATACCAAAGGACTTTCTTTAGAAGTAAATAAACGACTAAAAAAATATATATATTTTTTTTTGTAAGAAAATCAATCTAAAAATTGATATTCAAATCTTTAGTACCAATCAAAGTATAATTTGATAAAACGGATATATGTATATACATATATATATATATATATATATATATATATATATATATATATATATATATATATATATATGAATATATATTAATATTCAATAAGTTTAGATAAATATGTATACACATGTTATACAATAAAATTCAGAAAGGATAACAGAAAAATTATAATAATAACAATAATAATAAATCCATTTTGACAGAAAAACGTAGAAAATATCTAAATTTTTACATAAATATTTTTGTATGTAAATACGTATATTCCCAACCTATATCAATACATATAATCATGGTGTATACTACCATATTAATATCATATGTACTAAGTTATTAATATGGTTATTTAAGTGTGTGTATGAAGTCGAGAAATATAAAAATCTTATGTATAATTTACTCTCATATTTATGGTAAAAATGAAGAAAAAAAGTTTTTCTTTTTTCTTCCCATTCAGCCTATATACGAAAATGATTAAGGATTAAAAACTTCATCATTGAAACTAATCTTTTTCAACTAATATTCTTATAGCATTTAAGTATTGATTTATGCTATACACATACATATATTTATGTAGCTATAGTACTCGTATGTAAGCAACTTTATTTTCTGAAATTTATTTAACTATTATTAAAATATTACGAGTTTTACTATTTAATATAATTTAAAATATTATTGGTTCAAAGAAAAAAAAAATTTCTTTCACACTTAAATATCGCTTATTAAACTCGTACTTCCGAGTTCACGATTTACGATAATAGATGTCAAGTATGATATTTAGATGACTTTGGAAGATCTGGAAATTACCACATTTAGCCAGATCAACAATCTTTAGAATATCCGAAGACTGCGTAAAGTCGGTTCTGCTATATGAGTATGAAGTCTTGCTCGAACGAAAAAACTTCATGTAGAAACAAAAAAAATCTGATGTGATCAGCACATAACTGACCGCAATGTGTATTGTCTAGTTAAGTGAAAGTATTACAGAATATTATAAAAATGCCTGTTAAGTACTTCTTTTCAATTTTTACGATATTAGTAAGCTTATAGTTAACATACCTAGAAAAATGAAAATTTGACCCTTAGTAGAGTTTCGCTTTGTGCTACCCGAATTCCCTGAAATGCTCGCCAGTTAGTTTCGGTAACAACCAGAACTCAAATATCAAATTTCAAGAATTTCCATCAATTCGTTCCGTAGATATGGTGAAAAAAGTAAAATCGGCCCTCAGATCAGTTTTCGAGCTCTGATTTTTCCAAAAAAAATTTATATGTTCATTGTTTTAAAACGAAGAATTTAAATATTAAATTTCAATGAAATCGGTTGATTATTTCTCTTTATGTACGCAAAAATGTATATTTGGCCCGTAATATACGTCCAGTTACTGACCCAGAAGTTGGGTGGTTTTGCGAGCGATCGAGCGAATCTTATATAAAAATTTCAAGTAAATCTGTTGAATATTATCTTCATAATGATCAAAAATTTAAAACATGCCCGCTAAAATGTGTAGTTCCCGAGGCCTGACATATTCCAAAAGTTGATCAATCCGTGCCATTGTCGAAATAAAGTTATATATAAAATGATGATGATGAAAAATCAAATTTAACCGAACTTCAGATACACGGTAAAAATATCAAATAAGTACTTGCGGAACTCATGGACATTACGAGCCAGAAACAAGCACGTATATCCTGATTTTTTTTTATTGAGAATCGGTAATTTTATAATTTTTATTTGGAAAATATGCACATAAATTCTGTATATATATATATATATGTACATGTGTATGTAGATTTTAATGTGAAATTATATAAATTATATTATGTACATATATTATAAATTATAACATTATGTCATGTAAAAAAATAAATTCTGTTAATAAATCAAGTGCAAAAATAATATATGTATGTAAATAATCTTACCTGAAATTTATCCTTATTTAGATTGTTTTTTTATTTTTCTTTGTTTCCTTCTTTTATTTTATACGAAAAATTTTGATTATTTAGTTATTAATATAAATAATTTAAAATCTTTTGTATAGCAACAACATATACACACTAGTAGCTAGCAATATTTTATTAAGCAAATAATAATATTAATTATTATTTTTCCTTTTTTATTTAAATTCAAAATCTCGATCAATAATATTATTTATTATTGGAATATGAAACGTTGTTTAGTTCAATATAAAATAGAAACAAAGTACTTCTTCTTCTTCGTCTTCTTCTAACTTTCCGTTGAAATGATGACGACGATGAGAATTCGAAGCAACAAACGTGATGAACCACAAACAAAAAAAATCTTTTTTTTTCCTTCCTTATACTACCACCAATAAAAATAGTAACAATAAAGTCTTCGAAAACAACAAAACAAATCAAAAATAAAAAAAAAATTTTTTTATAAATAAAATTTAACAAATTCAGCGAAATAAAGAGTACAAGCAGAACAAATTTCTATTAGCTTTCTTTTTTTTTTATTGCTCAACTCTATTTCGCTACAATGATATGCTTTACCCTCTTCTATACCCTTCGCTTTCTTTTTATTTTGTTTTATATTTGGTTATATGCTATTTGTTTAAATGCTCCTTCTACTTTATTTCTTAATCGCCACTATCGCGCAAATTTCACCGAATAATATTAAGATTTATAATATGTATATTCTTTCTCCTTTCTTCTCAACTCTATTTACTTATGATTTTTTTTTGTTTTTTTATTTCTATTTTGCCTAAAATGAATTGGTTGAAAAAAAAATATTGCTTTGGAAAAAATAAAAATCTTTGTATTAAAATTAAATTAAAAACAATTTAAGAAAATAGAAAAAATATTTTAAGAGTATAATGTAAAAAAAATGTGTAAAAAACAGTCGTAAAGTTATACATATCACAAAAATTATACAAAAAAAAATATTTTTTTTTAATTATAATAAAAATGTTAAAAATGAATTCATACTCTCTGAAATGGTTACAAAAAAGACAAATATATTAAAATTAATTAACGAAAATATATTTAGGCGTGTATATATTTTGTATATATGTACATAATATGTACATACATTTATAATTTATATGAAAGCATGTATACTTATACAATATTGTAATAGAGAGTTAATAGTGCTGGGACTTTTATTATAACTGTAGAAAAATTTTCATGCTATACAAACTTAGGTGTGATGACTTTAAAATTTTTAAAATTAGATAAATTTTTTTTGCCTAATAATATGAAATTTTGTTTTTCCACTGTGAAATATTTCAATTGTGCTTATATTTATACGTATGTATGTATGTAGTTACATGTCTCTGTACATATTTGGCAATCCTGTATATGAAACAACAAGAGTAATAAGTTATTGAATTACTACAACCTTGCAACGAGAAATGTGTTTTCTGCCATTTATTTAATAAAAAAGAAAATATATGTGTGCATATCAATTTTTGTTAAGCTTCGTCAATAATTTTGACATTTCTGTAAATATTTTTAACCAATTTTATATTCAATGTAATATCACACAATAAGTAATCTAACGTTACTCTATTCCTAATCAAGTTGGGTTAAACCAATGGTTTGTAATGCAGCAGTTTCCCTTCAATAAGTGAAAATACTACTTGTTTTTAAAAACGATGTACCACATTATTGTAATTGCTTTCATTCATATACGAATATATTTCAAAAATTGCATACCTTTAATTATTCAATCTTTGAAATAAACCAAAAAAAAGTTAAACGAGGCAATAACATAATACTCGAACTCAAGAGTTATTTGCGTGAGTTAAGGAAAACTTTTTAATGACACGGTATACTTTATTTATAGTATACTTTTTAATGACATGGCATTTACTGTTAGCTTTCTCTACTTATAGAAATTTGGAAAACCTTAAAGTTTCGCCAATATAAGGTACCAAAAATTCGATTTTTACAAATTTCGAAGGGCGACAACTTAAGGAAGGGTGGAAGTGGAAAAATATATTAACGAAATGGGCTATTTATTAGGGACTAAAAGCTATAGTAAAATTTCAAACTCCTACAACCTAGAGCTCTATAGAAGAAAAACGTTATCCAAAATTTAGAATAAACGGATTTTAAATGAGGACAAATTTGAGCAGTCTTTTTGTTTTTTCAAAGTTTAAATATGGTATGTCGCAGTCAGCCACTACTTTTCTGCGTTTGCAGAATCTAAAAAAAGTTTCTGGTTTTGCTACAATAATTAATTAAAAAATCACATTTTAGGACTTTGATTGACTAAAATTAAGACCTATCTTCCTATCTTCCAGGGTGTAGAAATTTTGTGTAGAACGGGTCCACGGACGGACGGGAGTAAAATTAATAAGCATTTTTTATCAAATGTTTTTGGAAGAATGCTAAAAAGAGGAAGTTAAGAGAATATTTCTATCATATTATTTGAATGATACTTAAATGTTATAAATTATTTTTTTTAATTTCCTTAATAAAATTAATGTTCTCATGTAATGTATGTATATATGTTAACTACTGTTATGTTATTTATTGTTGCTAAAATGCTTAAAACCGATAATAACGAATACCACTAGAAAAAATCTGAACTCTTAATTAAAACTACTTTGAAATATTTTTTAAAAGCAATATAAGTAAGAGTTTTGAGATATCTTGGAAAAATTTTTAAATCCAGTATAAGCAATAATTAGAAAATTAGTTAAACACAATTAAAAAAAAGAATAAACGAATAAAATTGAAAGATAAGATTTATGTAATTTTTATAAAAAAAAAGGTCTCAGTAATTTTAATTTTTCTTTTAAATACTTAAGCCATTTTCTTTCTGTATATTTTACTCTAAATTTTACTTATTATTATACAAGTTTATTTTCTTTATTGTTAAAAGTCCCAGCACTGCTTTTTTTTTTAAGTTTTTTTTTTCGTTTTTTTAATAGAAATGTAATGCATGTAATAGTGATTTTAAAAAATTGTACAAGATTGATTTTAAAAAATTATACATTTCCATGTATACTCGTATATCTTTACATACATATATCTATAAAAGAATCTTACAAATACGTTGAATTTTTTTTTATTTTTTCTTCGAAAACAATTCTCAGGATAATGTATTTTTTCTTATATTAGTTAAATACAATATTAATATTTTATATATGCTTATGTATGTAGATAGAAGAGAGAAAAAAAATCTATTTAAGAACAAAATTCATTCAAAATTTACTTATATAGTCTGTATGTATTTGTGTATAAGAAATTTTTTCCTATAATTTCTCATTCAATTTTTTTTACGATTTTTTCGGCTTGCTTTTACTTAATTTTTTCTATTTGTTCGCTTCTACTTTTTACAATTAATAATTTTATTTTCTGCTGACGATAGCAATAACAATAATTAAATATTTCTCTTTAAGAAAAAAATAGACTTAAAAAAGAAAATAAAATAGTGATTTTCACTTAAAGAAGAATAAAAAAAAGCTGATTTTCAATTTTTGTTATTTTTTGCTTTTTTATTTTTTGATTGTCTTTTTAAGCCCGATGCTTTCGTCCTTTTTAATGTTTTTTACTATTTTTTTAGTTCAATATTTTGAGAAATCGGAATAAAAATTGTTAAAACAAAGTTTGAGTTATATTGCAAGTTTTTTTCTGATTTCGTTTTCCCTACGATTTATTTAATTTTCTATTTTACAATAATTTTTTACTTTTTGTTTGTTATTTGCAAATTTGATTTCTTGTACATTTAATTTTCTTTTCTCTTAAAAAAAAAAAAATGTTTCTCCTATTTTTTTTTTTGTTTATATTCTTTTAACTTTGAATTTTAAAATTTTTTAATTAATTATTTTGCACTTTTTTTTATATACATTTTCTTAAATACATAAAACTTTTAAATTGTTATTGGTAAGTATATAATTTCTTTTATGCAAAAAATTAAAGCAAAATACTCATTAATAAGCAATTAATAATAATCATCCTGGAAATAAAAAAATACTTATTTATATACTCGTATACATATACATATATATATACATACAATTTTTCAATATTTTATTTTTTTATATTATACTATTAAGTAAGAACAAATAATTTTTGAATAGATCTTTAAATTACTTTTGGAAATTTTCAAATAATTACTAATTTTTTTATATTTATTTATTTCCTACATTTAATTAACAGGAACATTTATATTTTTATTATAAATGGTTTTAAAACGGTTTAAGACAATTGAATAAATATTGATTAAGAAAGAATTATGTATTTTTAATTAATATAATAAAAAAAAAATGTTAAAATATCAAGTGTACTTAACAGAAGATTTTATAAATTATTCACAAGATTTTTGTTTTATACCCGTCGTTCTATTTTAAACCCAATTAACAGAAATATTAACATACAGGTTTTCAAAAATTTTACTGTATTTTATTTATATTGAATACACACACACACACGCACATACACACATATATATATAGATTATAAATATACACAAAATATATATATATATATATATATGTTATGTATATTTACAATTAAATACAATTTCGTCCTAAAAATTTGAGCCTTTATTTAAGGATTGAAGGCCTTCTGATTATATTTTTACCAACCGTATTGTGTAAACAATAGTTAGGTTATGTGATAGCAACAAATTTTGCATATTGAGTTTTCGGTAGGAATGCACTTCTCCATAGTAGGGAAGTGTAAATAAACTATTTTTAGCAACCTGTCAGTCTGTCGGTCTGTGTGTGCACGCGTGTATCTCAAGTTCGGCTGAACCGATTTGGATGAAATTTTATATGTAAGTTTATTTCCACAAGATGGACATATCAGGCCTCGGAAACTGCACTTTTTAGCGGGCCTATTTTACATTTTTGAACATCTTGAAGAAAATATTCAATCGATTTACTTGGAATTTCATATATAAGCTCAGCTCGACCGTCAGCGAAAGCTCCTAATTTTTGGAAGAAATCAGGTGTCAGCGAGTGGAGTATACATTTTTGTATATTTAAAGGGAAATAATCGACCGATTTCATTGAAATTTAATATTTAAATTCTTCGTTTTAAAACAATGAACATATAAATTTTTTTTGGAAAAATCAGAGCTCGAAAACTGATCTGAGGGCCGATTTTACTTTTTTCACCATATCTACGGAACGAATTGATGGAAATTCTTGAAATTTGATATTTGAGTTCTGGTTGTTACCGAAACTAACTGGCGAGCATTTCAGGGAATTCGGGTAGCACAAAGCGAAACTCTACTAAGAGCCAAATTTACATTTTTCTAGGTATGTTAACTATAAGCTTACTAATGTCCTAAAAATTGGAAAGAAGTATTTAAGAGACATTTTTATAATATTCTGTAACACTCTCACTTAACTAGACAATACACATTGCGGTCGGTTATGTGCTGATCACATCAGATTTTTTTTTCATATGTTCATGCACTTGAGTATAAATGAAAAGAGAATGGTGATTTGAAGGATATTGGTGCCAATAACACATTGCGGTCGGTTATGTGCTGATCACATCAGATTTTTTTTTCATATGTTCATGCACTTGAGTATAAATGAAAAGAGAATGGTGATTTGAAGGATATTGGTGCCCATTTGTAAACGTATTTAAAAATCATTCGTAAGTTCTTTTTATTTTCGAAGCAGGAGTGAGTAATTTCATATAATTTTTTAATTGAATGTCTGTAATCATTCTTGTAAATTTTTTAAATTTATTTTCAAATTTCTGAGAAAAAGAAGTAAAAAGCTGAGTATTTCATAAAACTTCGCATTCATATTTTTTTAATAAAAACAAAATCAATTTAAGTTTGCGCTCAAATTTTTAATTATAAAAATGTAACTAGAGGGTAATAAAATTCTGTCAATAAATTTGATAATCTTGATGAACAATTATTGTTTTTGTTGACAGCAAAATATGTATATGTGAATGGAAAACCGTACTTAATCAAAAAAGCAATTTTATAACGCAAATGCGATAGGTTTAAGAACTTAACCAAGCGTTTATATGATTTTAGTTAACATAAAAACATATTACTATGTATATACACTAGAGTGACTATAAAACATACCAAAAATTATTTACAAATTCATAGTATGGACGCTTATTTATAAAGTTGTTTAATAAATTAATTTTTATACATAAATCGCATTATATGGGTAATATTGGAATATTTAAATTCAAATTGACAAAAATTCATTTTTGTGAACAACCACTCAAGTATTCATTCAAAATTCCTAAAGTGTCTTCTACACAGAATTTATTGATTAATTAGTTGATTGTTTTTCTGTACATATATAAAAATGTAAAACTTGCCCATAATAAAAGTTCAGTTCACAAGGTATCCAAAATATATACAAGGTATCCAATTAATATACTCCAAAAGTTTATTAATTCATAACATAATGAAGGCAAACTCATAAATAAATCTTCATGAAGTTGAAATTGAGAAACACGAATGTACAAATACACAATCCGACATCTTGCAAAAAATAGTTTTGAAAATTTGACATGCAAAATTTGTCACAATCCCTTATAGTATGCATTGTGACCGGTGAAAACTACTTTAAATTATCAAATGTTATAAAAAATTTCAATGATTTGGTTAGAACTTTTCTAGCTCAAGATGACCTTATTCGAGGATTTACTTTACATTTTTTTAAAACTAATTTTTTAATAAAAATAAACTTGTTACTAAATAGATTTATAAGTAAAATTAATTAAGTATAATTAAATATTTTTATAAATTTATACTTATTTATAAATAAGTACAAATTTATATAAAAATTTTAAAATTATTTAAAAAAATTTACTTAATTTTGTAAATCTGTTACAAACGAGAAAAAATAGAGTTGACCGTGTCAACTCTGTGATACCCGTACGAATTTGTTTTCCTATGTGCGAATAAATATGTCATACCTGACTATGTAACAGACTATCATTTTAAGTTGCCATATTACCATTTAATATATTAAAATTTCAGTATTGGGTTTTGAATGTTTTCTTAGATATGGCCAAACTACTGTTGAAGTTGTATGACAACTACCAGAAGGAGGCACGCAATTTCAACGACTTCTGTCAAACACAATGGCCATACTTATATATTGGCCTGTACGAAATTTCAAAACCACAGTTTTTATAGTTTCTAAGATATAACCAAATAACTTTTGAAGTTGTATAGCAGCTACCAGAAGAAGCTAAACAATTTCAATGACTTTTATCAAGCAAATCGGCCCTACTAACATATTGGCTTGTGTGAAATTTCAACACAACAGCTTTCATAGTTTCTGAGATATAGTCGAATAAATTTTGAAGTTGTATGGCAGCTACCAGAAGGAGCCAAGCAATTTCATCGACTTTTATCAAACACATTGGCCCTACTAATATATTTACTTGTACGAAATTTCTATACTACAGCTTTCATAGTTTCTGAGATATAGACAAATAAATTTTGAAGTTTTATGGCAGCTACTCGAACCAATACCCCGATCATAATCAATTTAAATAGGGTTCTGGTATTTGTAAAATCAGACAAAGCTAAATGGACTCAGAATTCGACGCTGATCAAAAACATACAGTTGAATCTATATCTCAGACCGTTATTTCTTAGCATTACAAACGGTAAGGCAAATTTAGTATACCCTTCGAACATACGTTAGTACGGGTATAAAAAATAAAGAGCGTAATATAAATATGATTTTTATTTTAATGAGAATTTATTACAAAAGTAAGAAACAAAGTTTTATGCAAAAAATAAAAATAAAAAAAATTTCAGGGGTTGGAAATATTCCGTCTTTTTTATTTAAAATATATAATGTATTTAAATATAATAATAAAATACACAAATAATGCATATATTTATGTATATAAATAAATATGTACCTTAAAAATTTATATTGTTCATTGAAACATTCATAATTTTACAATTTTTCTTTTTTTTGTTTCGATTTTAATCTCTAGAGTTTAAACCCTAATTTTAATAAAAAAAGTTTTCAAATAAAACAATTTATTATGAATGCAAATTTTCATTTTTTTTTTATATTCCCAAAAACAAAAAAATTTTTGTACACTTAAGAAAAAGAATAAAATAAAAATAAAACTATCGCGTTTTTTCGTTGTGTTTATCACGAGTAAATACTAAAAATAATTTGATTTTCTTAAATATTTTCCGAATTGAATTTTACTCTTTATTTAATTCTTTGAAACTTGTGATAACAATAAGGGTTTCAATGTTTAAGAAGCAGAGTTTTTGTTCTTTGTATAGCAAAAAGTGAATTCTCATAATGATTTCATTGAAGGACATTTTGCTCAAAAGTGGTAGAACAAAAGTTCCTGATCCTGTCGCAAAGTATGAATTCATAATCTGGGATTATCCAATCGCTGCAATCCCCAAATTTTCTTCAAATTAATTTGACTTTCATTAGCTTTCATAATACATATACAAAAGCATTTAAAAAAATTGGAATTATGCAGTCAGGATGAATAAATATAAAAATTTTTGATTATCTCCACAAAAAGCTAAATTACTCGTATAAGCACTTAAAAAATTCAAAATTAAAAATGAATTCGTGATTTAAAAAATTAATATGAAAAGAAAAAAAATAGTAAATTTTAATATTGTAACTTCTTTAGTATTAAGCCTTTCCGATTTTAGTTGGAGCCAATTGAGATGTAAAATTATTCTATTAATTACCTAAATCTGTGAAGAATTTGATAAAAACGATTGTAATACGATGCATTAACTATAAGTTATTATTAAATTACTTTTTTGTTTTCTTTTTTACAAAACAAAATTAAATAATTTCGGTTTTTTTAATAGTTGTATTTAGTTAACCATATATCTAAAAACGAAATTATACTCGTAGATGAAACATAGTAAATAAAGCCTTAACAATTGAATGCAATCGTGTGGGAGTACTGATAGTTTTCCATGATAGAAAGTTTTAAGCAGATATTGGAGATCAAACA